AAAAGAGAATTATGTAGGCTCATGCACATAATAAAGTGGTCTAGATTATGAATTAAATTTTAAGTTAATCTGTTGAATATATTATTACTCATGAGCATAATTTTAGGGCATGACATATGCAGTTTTTTAATAGTAATTTTTCAAAAGAAAAATATCACTTCAAATGTCGTGCATTCGTCAACAATATGAGGTTCGATATTCTTCCAACGATAAACAAAAAGCATTAACTATTAGATTACATTCGCAGCAAATGTTCATTCAGAAAGAAATTTTTTACTAATTAAACAATATACATTTTAATTAGAAAAATCCATCTTATTATATTTAAAATGAGTTGACAGACGTGATGTACATCATTAATCTTTCATTCTATATTAATAGTTCATTTCATCAACTACTTGAACAAACTATAATACTTAACATGCTGAGATACTTGTTAAATAATTAAAAGACGAGATACTCGTAGTTTAGTGCAAACCGGCAAATATTTTCATGATTGACCTTAATACGTACAAGCTGAACATCTATTTCGATCAGAGTCCAGTTAAGATATGACACTCGATTTGACAACAATATCACGATGCAATTCAAAGACAGATTTTCCTTTGAAGATGAGTATGAGACCATAGGGTGAGAGATGTAGGCGTTCTATTCATTTTACAGGCTCAATATTCCCATTTTCCTCATTCATCCATCCTCAATGACTATGGTATGATTTCTTCTTATATCAAAATTTTAATAATTATATATATTATTGAGAATCTAATAAATATATTTCTTTCAAAATAAACAATCTTGATATATTCCATAATAAAATGAAGAAACAAAGTTATAATTGTATATGTGTCCTAGTCAGAATTCATTTTTAATTAAACGTAAAACTAGGAAATAATTTTCTTTTATTTATAAATAATTCTAATATTGACTGTCATTAAAAAGATGTAGTATGTACTTGATTTATTTAATTATGTTAGTAAAATATTCATCTTCACGTATTCTGACTATAATTCATGCAACAATGATTTTCATGTCAGAAAATGATGTTTGAAACTATTTTTATGAACAAGTCAGTGAATATATCAATTTTTGTATATTGAATTCGGATATTATTCTACGAAGTGGATCGTTTTCGTCGAAAAATCTTTCATTTTATTCGGTTAGAACATAATCAAATAAAGCTTAAGAAGATAAGAAATTAATAGTTTACATATAATCTATGTACTAGATTAAATTCAAAGAAATGAAAAACATCAACAAGAACACAATACTGAAATTAAAAAAGAAGCTTTAAAGTTTCTTCTGTTTTTTCGAGGTCAGAACATGCTAAGATCAGCTAGATTTCAATTGAATACACTAGTGAACTATACAATTTTCTACAATTAAATAAAAATTTGAACAAATAATTATATTCATCAAGTCTAGATCTCTTTATCACGAAACTAACATCTTTCTTTATGTTAACTAACAAAAATCTTTTTTTAGATTTTTGCTCGCATTAATTACAACATTGCAGTCATATTGTTGATTTCAAGACAAAATATAAGTCTCCAAAAAAAATACAATAAAAATAAATATAAACTGAATATTAAAAACTACCAGTATTTCTTTGTTTCAAATTAAATCATTTAAAACGTATGTTCAATATTTGTTAAATTATTTCTTAATTTATCAATCGATTTATCTCATTCTATTCTTGTTTATATTTATTCTATGAACATGAATTATTTAGTCATCAAATTAATGTCGAAGTGAAAATCCATTAATGTACAAACGATGAAACTCATTTTAAAAAGATAATATTAACAGTATACCAAATATATTACTGATCGAGATTATTTTACTACTAAATTCTTTTTATCAACTAAAATCAAGGAGTTCGTTTTAGAGATATCGAGAGTTAGATTGTTTTCACGTAAAAATTTCTTGTATTTTTTTTATTATTAAACTTTCCCAGTAGCACCAGTGTTATCCTTTGTGTTAAATTCATATATAAAAATGAATCATTTCATGATGAAGAGTCACGTATAAATACGTGACACTTCTAAACTAACTTATAATTGATTTGCGCATGTTTCTTATTGTACTTAAAACATCTTTGCTTTGTTCGTATACTAAATTAGCAACAGCTACAACTGACAAAAATGCAATCAACGAAATTTCAGACAAATTAGAGCCAAAAACTAAATAATATCACATAGTTCTGACTATTTTCATTTTTCTTTCTCGGTAACTCCACCTGGAAAGGGGTTAAAGATTTAGATGAATATACTTTTTCATTAAAAAACGTTGTATCACAATTTTTTTCTTGAATGTTTCACTCAAATGTTATGTAACATTGCTACTACATACGATACTAATTGGCATTTATCAACACACTTTGTATCACCAGATAACGTATTACTAATAGCTCAATGTAACATATATCGTGATAAGGATTCTGTACAGAGGCGCTCTTTTTTTCTTGAGGAAACGATTAAATACTGGAAAAAAAACATGCTGACACAGGATTTTAAAATCTGAATAGGATTTTATCGAAATCCTCCACAGTTTACCAAATAGAGTTAAACTTGGAATCGATATTTTTTAAAAGGACCTTTGCAAGATTTTCAAAATGGTAGAAGAAAAATAGACACATATAGTATTGATTTCTAGATCTTCCGTTGATGAATTTATCAAGTAATCCGCTGCGACTGTGATATGCTATTAAAATATGATTTCGTTCTTCGATATCTTAAATCTACTTCCAATCAATAGCTTTTATTTCAATTTTAAGTCAGATAAATTATCTGAAAAATAATTTAGCAAATGCAATATTTCATTACTTTTTTCACCACATATGAATGAAACTGTGAGTAGATTTTATCAAAAACTTCGTCCTTTACTAGAAGCGGATATTTAATGGGAAAAACTGGTTGTGGTCCACTATTAAGTGTTATTATTCGTTTTTCATCATTATTAGGAAATGTTGAATTTCTATCACCTCTAAAAGAGTCACCTATTCGACGAGATAAACGTTTTATTAAAGTATTTTATCCCATTAAAGAAGTATTGAATATCAATCAATTAAATGATAAACTACCCACACACCCCACACCCACAGATATATAGCTTAAGCATGCCTCTAACATTGACAAAAAAATCAGCTCATTCGCTCAAGCTGTAATGGTGGCATTCCATTGTTTCCGGTAAAGTGACTTTTGCGCCGTCTTGCATATTGTATTGTCCCATTGTTTTTGTCTACCTGTGACAAAAAAAATGTTTTTGGTTAAGATCAATAGTTATACTTAACAAAGAATTTCTCTGGGCATGTCTTTATGGCTATAAACTTTGAATATGCTTCTTGAATTGATAAAAAATCAACTCATTTGCCTGGGCCGTAACGGAGATATTCAATTTTTTGTCGATAAACTGACTTTTGAGCCACCCTGTAAATGTACATATGCGAATATGAAAGGATGAAAGAATATTTGCAAAACATTGATTTATCTCACAGATCTACTAGCGTCTCTGTAGCTACCTGTGTGAAACAATTCTTTCTATGATAGAACGACCGTAGAATTATTACTAGCTAAAATCGATTATATCGATGTAGGATGTTTGCTACGATGATGTAAAAGCTATGAATTTTTCATAAGAAAGAAACAGCATGACATGCACGATGATAACAATAAAAGAAAAAATCTAAAGTAATCAACCATAGACTTATTTTAATAATAAAAACTATGAAATGATATTACTAACGGAAGATGATTCATGACCATTATATTTACTCAGAATGTGGCCACCACTAATGCGTCCTAACAAATAAATAATAACGCTAACAACAAGTCGTTTTACCATTATATCAGAAAAATAATCACATGATCTTTCATCTTCGTTAAAAGTTTTATAATAATCCATGTAATATAGAATACGATGTACAAGCATCAATGTGTAAAAGCAGAGAGCCACAAAACAATGCGTGCAGACAATATTATATAATTTAACCATAAATGTTCAAGCCAAAGGTTATGAATTGATAACGCATTCAGATTTTTAAGTTGAGTCTCATACCATTTTTTACTAGGAAGATCGATTGCAGTTAAACTTTCCCAAATATTGCAGTCTGGAAAATCT